CTGGCCCCCGGGTTCTGCAGAACAGGACATTACCTGTCTGCATCACTACAAGAAAATTTACAAAAACCAGAAATATGAAATACAGCGGTCCTAATTCAAACCTCAGAGTGATCCCCTGCCTAAAGAAACCTCAGACCGAAAATCTTCTGGCCTCTAAGCCACTTAAAGTAGCTCTTTTAAATATCAGATCACTCTGTGCTAAAGCTCTGTTAATTAATGATTTCATCACTGAGTATAATGTTGATGTTATGTTTCTGACAGAAACATGGTTGAATGACGATAATGACCAAATTATACTAAATGAATCAGCGCCTCCTGACTACAATTTTTTAAGTGAGAATAGAAAACATAAAAAAGGAGGAGGCGTGGCTTCTATATTTAAAAATACCATAAACTGTAATAAAATCTCTTTCGGTCATTTCACATTTTGAGTATCTTGGAATTCAGGTTAAAGGCTTCAAACGAACTTTGACACTAACTTTATACAAAACTCCAGCATATGTGGAAAATTTCTTTACTGACTTGAATGATCTTCTTTCTCTCATATGCATTGATTATGATTGTTTAATAATTGTTGGTGATTTTAACATTCATGTGGACAAACCCGAAAACAGAGGAGCAAAAAAGCTCTCTGATATTTTAGAAAATTTTGGTTTAACACAACATGTCAAACAAGCAACACACACTCAAGGACACACACTGGACCTGGTTATCATTAAGGATGTGAATATTTCCAATGTCTCTGTAGTTGATGTCGCCCTGTCGGATCACTTTGAAGGTTCTTTATTCTTTGACCCACTTGGACAAACAGCTACTGTCACAAAACGTTCTTTCACAGAAAACACAGCAGAAACATTTAATCAAATCTACTCTCCTTCCTCACCCTTAAGCTGTAATGATGTAGATCAGTTGTTAGATGATTTTCAGTCTAAAGTTTCATATATCATTGATTCTATTGGCCCAATTAAAGTAAAGGTTTTGACTGGTAGAAAGAAATCTCCATGGAGAAATGCACAAATAGTTCGTTCTGCAAGACAACTCTGTCGCAGAGCAGAACGACAATGGCGTAAAACTCAACTTCCCGTTCATCACGACATCTACAAAGAAAAACTACGTAACTATCACTTAACACTAAAACATGGAAGGGAGGCTTTCTTTGCAGATGTCATAAACAAAAACATCAATAATGCTCGAACTTTATTTGCAACAGTTGACAGGCTCACAAACCCTCCTGTGACGTTACCACCTGAACTCCAATCTAATGCTGCCTGTAATACGTTTTCTGATTTCTTTTCAGAGAAAATCCAAAAAATCAGAGGATTAATCTGCACATCAACAAAACAAAACAAACAAAACAAATACAGAAAAAATGACCCATTTTCAACTACTTAATTATAAAACTCTAGAAGAAATTATAAGTCAATTAAGTTCAAGCTCCTGCTGTCTGGATGTCCTACCCACACGTTTCTTTAAGAAAGTCCTGCCTGTTATTGCTACTGATCTGATCCAAATTGTAAACTCATTGCTTACATCAGGTGTTTTCCCCCAGGCTTTGAAAACAGCAGTCATCAAACCACTGTTAAAAAAGAACAACCTGGACAAATCACTATTGCAGAATTACAGGCCAATCTCAAACCTCCCATTCATCAGCAAAGTTATTGAAAACACTGTGTAAACAATTAAATAGTTTCCTCATGATGACCAACTGCTTTGACACTTTCCAGTCTGGTTTTCGTTCTCACCACAGCACGGAGACTGCCCTCGTAAAAGTATTCAATGATATTCATATAAATACGGACTGTGGCAGAACCACGGTGCTGGTTCTGTTGGACCTCAGTGCAGCTTTTGACACTGTCGACCATGACATATTATTGAATCGACTGGAGAGTTGGGTTGGACTCTCTGGTTCGGTGCTCGACTGGTTTGAATCTTGCATAAAGAACAGGGATTTATTTGTTTCAATTGGAAACTTCTCATCAAAGAGGTCAAAGGTCACATGTGGGGTACCCCAAGGTTCAATCTTTGAACCCCTCTTATTTAATATTTATATTCTCCCACTAGCTCAGGTCATAACAGGAAATAATATTAGCTACCACAATCAATCAATCAATCAAATTTTATTTGTATAGCACATTTCAGCTACAAGGCATTTCAAAGTGCTTTACATCATAAACACAAAACACAAAGGCATGCAACATAGAATAAAATACCAAGGTTTTTTTTTTTTTTTTTCTTCCCTTTCTTCCCCCTTCCCTTTGACACGGAATTTAAGCGCCTGTTACCGCCGGACTCCGCCGTCCGTTTAACCACGGGTATTCGCCGGGCCCCGTTGCCCACAACAGGAAGAAAAAAAGATTACATACATATCCACAAAATCAAATCCATACATATTACATTTCAAATGCAACTCTAAACAGGTGCGTTTTTACTTGAGATTTGAAGGAAGTCAGGGTTTCCGCTGTTTTACAGTTTTCTGGAAGTTTGTTCCAAATTTTTGGTCCAAAGATGCTGAAAGCTGCTTCTCCTCTCTTGGTTCTGGTTCTGGGGATGCAGAGCAGACCAGAACCAGAAGACCTGAGAGGTCTGGAAGGTTGATACAACATCAGCAGATCTTTGATGTATTGTGGTGCTAAACCGTTCAGTGATTTGTAAACTAACAACAGTATTTTAAAATCTATTCTTTGAGCTACAGGGAGCCAGTGGAGGGACTTTAAAACTGGTGTTATGTGATCTATCTTCCTGGTTCTAGTGAGAACGCGAGCAGCAGCATTCTGGATCAGTTGCAGCTGTTTGATTGATTTGTTGGACAGGCCTGTGAAGATGCTGTTGCAATAATCAATGCGACTAAAGACAAACGCATGGATGAGTTTCTCTAGATCTGGCTGAGACATTAGTCCTCTAATCCTGGAGATGTTCTTCAGGTGATAGAAGGCCGATTTTGTTACTGTCTTTATGTGGCTCTGGAGGTTCAAGTCCGAGTCCATCACTACTCCCAGGTTTCGGGCCTGATCGCTAGGTTTTAGTTGTAATAACTGAAGCTGTGCATTGACTCTAGATCGTTCCTCTAGAGTCAATGTGACTCTGAACCCATCCAATCACTGAATAAATGCTTAGAGCAGATAAATGTGTGGATGTGCCAAAACTTTCTCCAACTGAACAAAAATAAAACTGAAGTCATTATTTTTGGACCTAAAGAGGAACGATCTAGAGTCAATGCACAGCTTCAGTTATTACAACTAAAAACTAGCGATCAGGCCCGAAACCTGGGAGTAGTGATGGACTCGGACTTGAACCTCCAGAGCCACATAAAGACAGTAACAAAATCGGCCTTCTATCACCTGAAGAACATCTCCAGGATTAGAGGACTAATGTCTCAGCCAGATCTAGAGAAACTCATTCATGCGTTTGTCTTTAGTCGCATTGGTTATTGCAACAGCATCTTCACAGGCCTGTCCAACAAATCAATCAAACAGCTGCAACTGATCCAGAATGCTGCTGCTCGCGTTCTCACTAGAACCAGGAAGATAGAGCACATAACACCAGTTTTAAAGTCCCTCCACTGGCTCCCTGTAGCTCAAAGAATAGATTTTAAAATACTGTTGTTAGTTTACAAATCACTGAACGGTTTAGCACCATAATACATCAAAGATCTGCTGTTGTTGTATCAACCTTCCAGACCTCTCAGGTCTTCTGGTTCTGGTCTGCTCTGCATCCCCAGAACCAGAACCAAGAGAGGGAGAAACAGCTTTCAGCATCTATGGACCAAAAATTTGGAACAAACTTCCAGAAAACTGTAAAACAGCGGAAACCCTGACTTCCTTCAAATCTCAAGTAAAAACGCACCTGTTTAGAGTTGCATTTGAAATGTAATATGTATGGATTTGATTTTGTGGATATGTATGTAATTTTTTTTTTTTTTTCCTGTTGTGGGCAACGGGGCCCGGCGAATACCCGTGGTTAAACGGACGGCGGAGTCCGGCGGTAACAGGCGCTTAAATTCCGTGTCAAAGGGAAGGGGGAAGAAAGGGAAAGAAGAGGGGGAAAAAAATAACCTTGGTATTTTATTCTATGTTGCATGCCTTTGTGTTTTGTGTTTATGATGTAAAGCACTTTGAAATGCCTTGTAGCTGAAATGTGCTATACAAATAACATTTGATTGATTGATTGATGCCTTATAGCTAAGAGATTCGGTGTGATGCATTTCAACTTTCAGTGTCTAAATTGTGAGTTTGAAAGTCAAAAAATGTGTCAATCACAAATTTCAATGTCACCATTTTGACTTTAAGCTCTATTTAATACATAATGTTTTATAAACATCAGTTTCAAAGTCAATTAAAAGAGCTTAAGTATGACAGAAAAAGTCAAGATTTTTATATTTACATTCATAAATTTTGAAGTAAGAATTGTGAGATAAAAAAATGACACCAAGAAAATCAAGGTTTGACTACAATAATCGCATGTATCATATATAAGACTTTTAAATGCAAAAACGTTCATTTCGAAGTCATACGAGTTTGAAAAAATTTATATATGAGGTCCAAAAATCTGTCACCATTATAACTTTCAAGTTCATACTTTTGTCCAGGTTCAGAGCGTCAGACTTATTCTTTTGACGTTATCACACGAATTAAATTAAAACATGTATGAAATACAAAGTCAGAATTATTTTGGGAGTTTTAAAACCTTATTCTTCTAAAAATTCAGACGTCATGTCTGCAGGTCATAAATATGAGCTCTAAAGTTATTTTTTGCTAAAAGCAGAAGATTCACAACAACACAATCAAAGTTTTGAAAGTCCTAATGATGAGACTCAAACAACCAGTTTTCACGTTTGAAATCATAACTCTGAAATTACAACCCTACAACTGTGCGCTTTAAACTCAAAATCACAACTTTGCGACTCTCTCTTGCGACACACCGCGTTCATTTTTGTCCTACGTGGCAGTAATGGTCTTCCATAGCCTGCGCACCAGGTTAAGCAGGCTGTCATGCAAATGCACACATGCAGCTGTCTGATGACGGGAGAAACTCTTCCCTCCTGATCTCTATTTAATGCATACATGAGGTTCTGTTCGTTCATGAGCCGATCTGCCCCAGGTCTCTCTGTGAGTCTCCAGTCATCCCGTGGCTGCTGCTGAGGAGGAGCTGGAGCAGATGTTGAGTGCTGATCCAGCGTGGATCGAAGCTGAAGTTCTTTGAACACAGCACCTGGGTCGCGGCGAGGAGTGTGTGGGCACGTAAACGAGGTGACTATATTCTGTTGTTTTTCATCCCTTGATACGCTCTTCACCCGGAGCCTATACGTGAATTTAGGCATTACAACACGGTACATAAAAGAAACTTCCCCTCATAACTTCCTTCAACCGTTTTTAGATGTTCGGGTTAGCATGATGCAACTACCACATCATCCACGCTCTCCAGCTGCCTCAGTTTTGTTAGCTCGATGCCAACCAGGAAGCTTCCGCAAAGTGGGTTCTGAAATTCTGCGCTTACGCCAGAATTGTGTGGCTAGCTAAAGTTTGTGGTAAGGAAAGCCACTTGTTCTTTTTGTTTTTGTTCTCGCGGCTTTCCCTTTTTAAACCCGCGTCAGGCCAGCAGCTAACCATCAGCTAGTCGTCGACACGGCGAGGTGATTTTTAGCGTGGTGTCGGTGTGTGCGTGACGCGTCCACATTAACCGGCGTTCATTCTTCCAGCAGCAACACGCTGCTGGAAGAACGTGGACGATGTTCTCGTCCACGTTTTCTTCTTATTGTCTCAGAACGTGAGCCGGTGTTACGCCGACTTTTGTCTACCCGGAGGAAGATGAGGCGCGATTGAACGTCGATTAAAATGTCCCTGTGGTCTTCAGCGATGGATGGAGATTCGCCTCTCCGTCTAGTTTGTTGTGTTATTTTTATTTAATTATTATTTTTAGGTGAAGAGGCTAAACTCAACTCCAGCGTGACCATTTCCTGATTCCTTTTTTTCTTGTTGTTGTTGTTATTGTTGTTAATTTAAGCTGTATTTTTCCATAACACTATCTTCTTGAAGCTAGTGGTTTTAGAGGACAAATTAAATCTTTTAAATGTTTTTTTTAAACATTTTCTTGTGCCATTGACTCCCATTCAAAATATATATTGAAAAAAAAGTCACACAGCTTTGCCGAAATGTAATTGTTGTGCACAAGGTTAACATGTGTAAGCTGACCAACTCGGAAATATACATTTATCAGAATTAATGTTGCTGCCATTTTTTAAACTCCCTGGCACAGCCATCAACCTTCCTCCTACATTCCAATTTAAGTATAAAATAGAAAGAAAAATGCAAACAGCTTTAAAAAATAGAAATAAAAAAGCTTAAATCACTAAAGTTGGCATTTGAACATAATGGGGGGTGGGGGTGGGGGGTTACTTAATGGCAATCTGCCAGATCTCTTTTAATGTCCAGCAGTCCAAAGTGGAGTTAACGTCAACAACTTTACACAAGAAGAAAAAAAAAATGTTGGAAATAATCTTACAGTCAGGCTCAGATGTCACTCACAATGCACAATTTCCATATTCATATTGTAATGCAACCTGCAGATGATCATATTTTCTGAAAATGTACGACTTCAATAATAAAAATGAGCATTTAAGAAGCTAGATATTCAAGGGCTAAAAAGATCCACAGCATTTTGGTTTTTATTTTATTGCTACAGAATGTTGTATCTTAAATCTTTTGTTTCACATCTATTCATCAAAGCTACAATAAATCTGACTGATAAACCAGTGGAATAATTTTGGGGTTTTTTTTATATGATTTTTGTTTGAAAATGTTTTACTAAATCTGATGTTTTTACTTCGGGTTATCTTACCGTGGAAATATCATTGTAACACATGTTAAATTTCTATTGGTGTGTTTCTCTGGCATTGTTTTAATTAAGTCATGTACACTGTTATATAGCTGTACTGAAACAAGCTTTTAGAAATCACAGAAGTTAGTCTTTGTGTTTAATTGCCTAAGGTTCATCATTTAATGTGGAGCACATCGGTTCGCATCTCCAAGGCACCGTCGACAGCACATGTTCTTCATGTTGTTTCCTCCAGAGATGTATTGTAAACAGGGATCCATTAGCTGCAGGAGCCAGATTAGTTTAAGGAGGCAGAACAGATGCTTGCATAATTCCATTCATGTCATAAAGGGACTCATGATGGCTGCTTGTCACAGACCAGCAGCTGCAGGTTTTTCTGTTTTTCTTTTTTTTTACGTGGTCAAAACAAATTTATCAATTGACGATGAATAATTTGGATGCGATATATGTGAAAATAGCTTTTTGTGGTTTATAATGTCTCATATATATAAAATCTTTCAGGTTTATGGTTAACCACAGAATGGTCAATACCTTCACCAAAGATAAATGTCCACCGGTGTCGAGTTGTGGTTCATAATGTCTCAAAATCTACTACAATACACTGGTCAGGCTTAACATTGTGACCATTGAGAGGTGAAGTGAATAACCCCAAGTATCTCTTCATCATGGTCCATGTTGGTGGTTGAGGCAGATAAGGAAGCAAGTCAATATTGTGACCTGAAAAAAGCACGAGACTGGAGAGCGACGGGTAGATCATTGGGTCAGAGTGTCTCCAAATATTCATTTCTGTTTGGATGTTGTCACTCTGCAGCACTCTGTATCTATCAACGGATTTTCAAGAATGCATGGTTGATCAGTTTGTTGCCTATGAAGTTGCATAGTTTTGGACCTGCTTGGTTTGTGTCAGTGGTTCTTAACCTGGGTTCGATTGTACCCCAGGGGTTCGATGAGTCACCCTCAGGGGTTCTGCAGAGCCTCTGCTGCGGAGGTAAAGACACACTTGTGTAAAGTCGTGATGACACGCCCCACTTGGCCATTGCTTGCTGTAGAGAATCGCTTGGCCAATCGGTGCTGCGGGAAATTTAGTGGGCGCAGCAGTCAACGGCTGTTGCAATTGTATGTCGTGTGGTTTCTTTCTCAATATTTCAATCCATACTAAACATGTCGAGGTTGAGTTTTAACAAACAAATGGCTTCTACCACAATAATTATGTGAAATTAAATTAATCCCAAATTCAGAAGAAAAACCTTTACAGAGAGCTCTTGGGTTCCTCCTATCAGTCTGCAGTTTCTTATATTGACGTCTTCAAACCAAATTTCAGATCTACCATAAACCAGCTTCTGGCTGAGAAACCAGTAACCTGCTCCCAGTGCAGAATCTCACTGAGGAAGACCCGCATTAGGTTTTCTATCACTTTAGTACTTCTGATATAACTGATGTGCATTTGCATATAAAATAAGTCAGTAGGGTTTAATTTACTATTTTTATGTTTATGTCATGAGTTAGATCTCAGCTGGCTGGTGAGAGAAAAAAGTAGATCTTGGTCTCAAAAGGTTTGAGCTCCCCTGATGTACAACATGGATTCACATGTATCACGGAACCGGATGGGAGTCAGCGTCCCATCTAGTCTGGCACAGGCAAAACTAAGCATGTCTGTGCTTAGTTTTGCACAGGCATGCTAAAATAAAAAATGATAAATAGATCGGAAATTTTAACACGATATGCCATAATGATGCACTACACACAGTAAAGTACACTGGATTTGGAGTTTGGTCCTCAAAAAAAAAAAAAAAAGGTAAGAAATACTTGAAGCTGCATGGAGATGGAGAAAAGTAAAGTATTTTGTGGATTCAAAACGACAAAAAAATAAAATTTCAAATAAAAAAAACAAGTTATTAAAAAAATGTTCAATTCTTTAAAAGAATCAAAATTTATCTTTAATTAGTGAAATAGTAAAAACATACATATATATTTTTGGGGGCTAAAATTCTTTTACAGGGCCGAAATATTTTTTTGGGTCAGAATAAAGTAATACCGTAATTTGTTGAGTTCATGCACTGTGTTGGTTTTGTTCTTTGAGCAAGGTGATTTCCATGCATGACTCATTTTGTGCAGCAGTAAAAAAAACATATGCCTATGTCCTGAATTTGGAAAACAAAAATCTTATATAATTTATCACTAAAAAAGGGTTCAGTGAATGCACATATGAAACTGGTGGGTTCGGTAGCTCGAAAAAGGTCAAGAACCACTGGTTTATGTATTGTTCAGAAGTTGGCTTGGGTGTGTCGGTTTACTTGTCTTAAAGATTAGAGGCGACTCGTTGCAATGTAAAATAGTTTGCATTGTTGCAATCTTTTCAATTTTTGAAAGGCTTAGGTGTGATGCAAAACTGTTCTCAGCAGAGGTAGAATCAGGTTCTGCAGAGCACGATGACATGTTGAGGTCATCGTGACCCTGGAGCAGGGTCACGCCTTCCACCGGCTCCTGAGGATTGGACCTCCAGACCTAGTTTCGTGCAGAATGATGTTGGTTTGCAAGGTTTCCCCCAGAAAACCTGCTAAACCGGGTGGTTGGGTGTTATGCAGGCCTTCATGTTTTTGAGTTAGAAATTGTTTAAACTTAACAGGAAATTTGAAAATATCACTTGATAGTTACGTGTTATTAAAAGTTTGGAAGATTAAAACCTGAACACCAACTATAAAGTCTTAAAAAAATGCAAACATTAAAAAAAAAAAACTTACAAAAAATAAGCAATGCTTAGCCTGTATTACAAGCCTGGTGTTCCTCTTTTATCTATATATTCAACCAAATCCCAACAGAAATGAATATTTGGAGATGCTTTGACCCAGTGTTGGTGATTTGTCCTAATGATACATTAGGCTAAAATCACTTTGTCCCTTTTAGAAAACTGTAAGCGTTTTAAGAAAAGAATTGAATATGACTGATGGTTGTTTTGTTTTGTTTTGCAGGATATCCAACGAGAGAAATTACACCTTGGATTCTGTTTTGAGATGTGCTAATCTTGAACTTCCTATAAGACCAACCCCACTTGTCTTTGTTAGGTCCAAACTACCTATCGTTTTTTTACCAGGATAAATTTGCGCTACACTTAATTCGACATATTAACCTCTGCCTTTGAGCTTTGAAATAAATTGGTGAACATGGTGGCTGATGGAGACTCCCAGTCTGTGGGCAGTGATGTCAGACTAAAGCAGGAGATCTCCCTCCTCCATGGGGTCTGCCTCATCGTGGGAAATATGATTGGCTCTGGAATCTTTGTTTCTCCGAAGGTAAGATATCTTGCATAAATATTTGATCATCATAAATGAATCTTGTTACCATTTTTTTTTGTTCTCTGTGCAAACAGTGTTGCATGTTTCCCCATTCTCTCCTGTTTCTCCGCACATCTGTTGTCCCTGCAGGGAGTTCTCATGCATGCAGGCTCTTACGGCTTGTCTCTGGTGGTGTGGGCCATCGGAGGGATATTGTCTGTGATTGGAGCGTTGTGCTACGCTGAGCTCGGCACCACTATCCACAAATCCGGAGCGTCTTATGCTTACATTCTGGAAGCATTTGGAAGCTTCGTGGCTTTTATTCGGTATGTCGGGGCACCTTTGAAGTTACGGAGGTTTTTCTTCTTCGTAGCGTCTTGAAAACAAATACATCTCTACTCACCTAACAGTGAAAGTTATGTGGAATGGTTATGCATGAATTGTAAACATCTTATTTTTGTTACTTTTGATGAAAATGGCTTCAAGTTAATGAAAATCGAAAATTTAGTTTCTCAAATACTGTGAACATTACCAAAAAGAAAAAAAAAGCTGTCTCCTGGTACAAACATCACAATCCTCTAAAGCGTGTGTGTTAAACTCAAGACAAGTGGACCAGTTTGAAAGCTGTGGTTTTCCTTGTTGCCTATGCTCTTTTCTTTCTATCACATTTTTTCTTTCCATTCAACTTTCCAACAAAAGGCTGTGAAAAGCAAGGTTCTGTGACTGTCCCTCCCTGTGAAGAATTTTACTGAAACCTGAACAAATGCAAATTAAGGTCGGCCGTAAGATAATTAAATTTCTTAAGTTGGGTTTTCTGTAATTATATTTCCTTTGAAACATTTTTTTGTTTATAAGATCTGTAAGCCACAATCATCAAAAGTAACAGAAAACACATTGTGATTTGACTTAGACAGACATTAATGTTAGCGTAGCTCATATTTTAAAAGGATGTCGGGTCTAGTGACATCCATGCTTAAGGTGTCCAGCAACAGTAACTGATCGCTCATCTCCACTGCAGGCTCTGGACGTCCCTGTTGATCGTAGAACCAGCCTCTCAGGCAGTGATAGCCTTGACCTTCTCCAACTATTTGATCCAGCCTTTCTACCCCACCTGTTTAGCCCCGTACTACCCGGTCCGCCTCATTGCAGCTGCCGTAATATGTAAGACTCTTCTTCTAAGCATGTTCCATAATTTTTTTTTTTTATATATATTAGAGAAATAACATCTTTGGTGTTTTTGTGTGTCAATTTTTATTACATGGCTTTACTTACTTCCAAGTAAATAGGTTTGGTCACTTATGCATGGTTTGAATAAAAATAAACATAAAGTCTTAGAGTGGTCCTGACTAGATACTTTGTTATGATATTAAAAACACCAAAGACACCTGAAGAGTAACTAACTAAAACTATTTTGTACTAAGAAAACCTAAATGTCTCCACAGTATTGTAAAAGACTGTAGCCAATCATAAAGACCAGATGGCCTAAACTGTTATGGCTAGATTTTATTTAAGTTTCTCGCGCCTTATATGAAATTATCATTTTGAAAACTGTGTTTAATGTTTGCTCTGATTCTCTTTGATGAAAATATTTCATTGTTCCGTAAGCCGGTCTCTCAAAATCTTGTAGCACAACCACACATTTTCCAGCTATCAGCTGTTTCACTTGCTTGTGTATCTGAAAACTGTTGAGGTTGTAACACTCACAGGTCCTTAAACAGCAGAGCTCTATGCAAATACACTGCACAAAGTCTTGGATTAGAACTTTCTCTTTTAGGAAATGTTTTCTGCAGGATCCAGGTTCACTAGTTGAACATAATTGCATCATAAGTGCAGTATGAAAATGAAGGGGGACAAGCTTGAGTTTTAGAGCCTTTGGCATCTCGACGTAATACCCTCATCCTGTCTTCTCTTTGAAATCATAAAGCTGTGTGTGTTTATAGCCTCACTGGTGATTAACTCTTAATGCAAAGACAACAGTAGAGGCTTAGGAATGGCATATTAGGGAAGAATTTGAAGACTAAAGACAATGCAAACACACTGGCTGATCCTTAAACCTGTTTGCTTTATTGAAACAACCAGGTATGTTACTGTGATAAGTGCCTTTAGGCAAGCTTCAAGCAGATCAGTGAAACCAGTTTTAAACTTAAAGTTTCAAATATTCTTGCAGGTTCTCATGTTTCTTCCCTGAAGGATTATGATCATGCAGTTTAAATGCTTAATGTGTATATTTTTAATTACCAAAGGTCTGTTTTTAATTTTTCTTTTTTTTCTCTTACAGGTTTGTTAACTGCTGTTAACTGCACGAAAGTAAAATGGGGAGCGGTCCTCCAGGTCGTCTCTACTGTAGCAAAGTTGCTGGCGCTCCTCGTCATCATCATCACTGGCTTGGTGAAGCTGGGTCAAGGTATTGTCCCGTTAACTCTGTCAGGTTTGCAGCAGCACCGGTCCCAGTAGCTTAGAGATGAAGCTCAGAGAGGAGGATGTGAACACTGTTGCTCTGTTCAGAGTTGCAGCTGGAAAGTTTTACTAGTTACTGATTAGCCTGCAAGGAGGTGGAACCAGATGGCTTAAAGCATGGCTTTTTATTACTTGCTAATCATTAATGGATATTGATGGATTTGATCTCGGAGTGAGGTATTTCTCGTTTTGGATTTGAGTAAATTTGATTGCTTTATCACTTCGTATTTATTCTGAACTGTATTGGGTTGATGTTTCGGGAAGGTATGACAAAGAGTCATTTTTAAAATTGTAAATTGTGAAATGAACTTGACTTTCTAAATCTCTCTTGTGAAAATAAACAAATCAAATCGACTAATCGCTACATGTTGGGCCTCAGAGGTGAAGGCAGCAACATTTTCTAAGAACTTTTCACACATTTTTTCTGCATTGCTAACAAATGTGGTGCTAATAAAATTGTTTCCTTTAGAAATACAAAGCTTGTGTTTTTATGAATTTTTTAAAATATCAAATGTTTGGATAATGTTAGCACTATGTTAATTTCGTCATAAATTACAATTTCACTTTGAATGAAAGCCTCATTCACTTTGAGTCCAACTGTTTAATCAGTTCTAAAACGATTGAAATATATACATTTAATTTGGATTTTAAGATTAGAATCTATTGGACTTTGTTCACCAGTGACGTGGACATATATCAGGCATCATGGCAACAGTGACAGAATGAACAATTGCAACAGTGACAGAATGAACAATTGCATTTTTCTTTGTATTTTTTGGGGGAAAGGTTTTGACCAGAATTTTCAAGAGCCGTTCAAAGACTCCAAGCTGGATATGGGCCCCATGGCTTTGGCTCTTTACTCAGCTCTCTTCTCCTACTCTGGATGGGACACGCTCAACTTCATCACGGAGGAGATCAAGAACCCAGAGAGGTGCGGTTTCCTGTTCTCCTGTGTTCCCTCCGTGTCCTTTACATGAGCGCTCCCTTTGAAACTAACAAAGATATTCTAAAACTTTTTTAAGCCATTTTTCCCTTTATTTCCCTTGTAGGAATCTCCCTTTGTCCATTGCCATTTCCATGCCCATTGTCACAATAATCTACATTTTAACCAACGTAGCTTACTACGTGGTCCTGGATGCAGACACTGTGCTCTCCAGTGGAGCTGTTGCTGTGGTGAGTTTCTGTGCAGTTTTCAGGATTTAAAAGCCATGTGGTGTTCGCATGGTAACCCATCAAACATGCCGATTATATGAACAGGTTGATTAGCAATAGCTTGTAAAGATATTCATGTCAATTGAGCCTGTTTTTTTTTTATGATCAAACCAAGGTGCAGAGAAAAATTTTTTAAACTATTTTTAAAGAAAAATCTAAAAAAAATAAAGAAAACTTTTTATTTCTTCTCTTAAGAATCCATAATTGATTGAACCATTTTCTTTACGTAAAGCATTTCTTCTTGCTTCCCTGTGTCACAATTATGAACCAAACTCCACCCAAAAAATACTTTAGTTGTAACGTCAGTGTGTTTGAAAATACAGGATCTCCTTTTATCCATGATCTGTTCGTCACCATAGAAGCGCCGCGTTGCGATCTGCACTTCCTGTCTTTGACTATGATCATTTCCAGTCTGGTAGACGAGCACCGATATGAGCACGTGGCGATGGTGCGTCCCTTTGGTTATCTGCGACCGACGGAGTAGAGATGGCGGCGTTCTCGTTTGGCTAAAGACATTAGTGCTCCATGCAGGAGCAGCGGGGAGGTTCATGATCTGATTACAGGGCAGATGGGGGGAACAATTCTTCTTAATGACCGAATTATCATTTTTATTGCAGTGTGATGGCTTACTTATGATGTCAAGCTATGACCTGGGTCTGTTGACCGAGAATGAAGCGATTCCGTGAAAGCAAACGTCTTCTGCTTCCATCCTGCACTTCTTAGAAATTTAAACTTGGAGCCAGACTAACGGAAACTAATTCATCCCGTTTTGATCTCGGCTGGTGTCGTTTTTAAGTTGTTAACCCAAAAGGATTCCTGTGTAATCCTCGGCTTTGTTACTGAATCTTATCTGCATTAATGATGATCTATGTTTACTGTCCTGTTAGACGTTTGCAGACGAAGTCCTGGGCTGGGCTCGATGGATGATCCCTTTCTCTGTGGCCATTTCATGTTACGGAGGCCTCAACTCATCCATCATTACCGCCTCAAGGTGGGTGTAAAATGATGCCTTTAGACATGGCATAAAATGATGGCGGTGTGATAAACCTGAGGTAAAAATGTCACGGTATTATGATTACAAATCAAAAACATGTTGTTTTGCATTTTCTTTTTGAAGGTTCTGATATGAATGCATAGGCGATTTGCTTCTTAAATGTTTTCCGAATTGTGGGCAGATCTTCATGAACTGTTGCTGCCAGAGCCAGCACTGTCCTGAAAGAACAATTAGGACAGACACTGAATTAACAGGAAATGACAAATTAACCTGTCACCTTAATCGCTGCAGTCATAATCGGCTTTGATTGTCTTTACAATCTGGTTTTAGATTGCAGGTGCTGAAATGTAATTCTAGCATGCTCATTCATACTTGATTACTCAGTTTTTGCAACATACCACAAATAAGCTATACTAATCAAGTGTAATGGTGTAACTGCGTTTCCACTACTTTCAGTGGACTTGCACTGCAGGAACGATGTGATGGAAAATTTTAGTGGTTTTGAAACTGTGACCTTTCTGTAACCCATTGCTAAATCTAGCCCATTTTGAAGATTCCTCAAAGAGTCGATTTGCATTTGTTCTTTTTTTTTTTTTTTTTTTGCCCTTTGCAACATTTCTTTCTGCCCCGCAGGTTGTTTTTTGTTGGCTCCAGAGAAGGTCACCTGCCCGAGGCCCTGTGCATGATCCACATTAAACGTTACACCCCGATTCCAGCCCTTCTTTTCAATGTTGGTTTGTTTAATATTTTAGTAGCTCTCAAGCAAAACTCTGCACTCAGCCTCTGTTTGTATGACATGCATGCATGTGCTTCTCTTCTTCCAGGGGATCATGTCGCTAATTTACCTCTCCGTGCCCGACGTCTTCCAGCTGATCAACTACTTCAGCTTTAATTACTGGCTGTTCATCGGCCTGTCGATGGCCAGTCAGATCTACCTTCGATTCAGATTTCCCGAATGGCCGCGCCCTGTTAAGGTAGGACAACCGTTGCGGTCGCTTTAGCCGCGCACGTCTCCTGCTTGTTGACATGCGACTCCCAAAACGGTGGAAATATCTGCACTCCCGTTTTATCAGTTCAGTGAAAACTTCAAAGATTTGTATTTGAATTGCTCGGCAAATTTTCATTTTCACTTTTTGCCACGATTGGTGATGGACTGAAGGTAAAATGATCAGATTGAAATATCTTACCAAAGTATTGACAGTCTTTTTTTTAATTTAATTTTATTTTTATTTTTATTTAGACGGCAAAACCATTGTGTGCCTGATCAACATATTCATGTTTTCAGCAATAACTGATTAATTTTATCTTAATACTGACTGCAGTCCATGTCAACTTAGTAACTCGGAGTAATAAAGAGAACGGCATAAAGTTTTTTTTTATAACGTCTTCCTTTTATATTTTATTATGCACATAAATATATATTTACATTAATTAATGTATTCTTCTCCACAGCTGTCTCTGTTCTTCCCAATAGTTTACTGCTTGTGCAGCTTTTTCCTGGTGGTTCTTCCCCTCTTCAGTGACACCATCAACACTCTTGTTGGAATTGCTGTTGCTCTGTCCGGAGCGCCAGTTTACTATATTTGTATCCATCTACCTCCCACGTCTAGACCACCCTTCCTCCGGAAAATGCTTGGTAAGAACCCCCAGGCTGCATGGCACTGCAGTGCATTTTTATTATTTATTTATTCCTGGGGTTTTTTTTAAGACGACTTTTTTTTCCATTAGAAGATATTGTAAATACCTTATGGTACTCAAAAAGGTATTTCTCATTTAGATTTTTCCGTCAGCCGTAATAATGTTACAGAATTTGTAACTAATAGAGAAAAGTTGTCCAACTTTACAGTTTGGTGTGTTTAGGTGTCCTCATCTGAAAAATGATTTACATTAAAAATGTTTTTAATTGCTCCTGAGTGCAGTTTGTAGGCCGGATGAGTAATTTCCATGGGATTCGTGGAGAAGTGGGTCTATTAAGCAGCAAACTGGTTGTTAGTTTGCTTTGTTAACTTTCTGCAGTAAGAAGCTTTTCTTTACTTCTTTTTCAAACAGAACAGTGTTGGGAGCTAAGAAGGGATTCAGATTAGTGTTTCAAAGTTCAGTCCACTGGAAAGTCTGCATTCACTAAATAATGAAGCTGTGTGTGCATGTATTTATATCTCAGGAACACGCTGTCCTCTTCTGACTGTGCAATTACCAGCAAGCAGTGCAAAATGGTGCAAGAAAAGTTTTGAAGCTTATTATTGCAAGTCCAAGACTTAAAAAAATAAATAAAATGATGTTAGTTTAATTAAAATAAGCAGTTTGAGTTTGTCTTGATTTATTTTTCTAATGCTTTTCTTTTTTCCTCTCACTGTAGATAAGATTTCCCTGTTCACCCAGAAACTGCTCTTCTGCTGCGTGGCCTCGCCAGATATTGATCTGGACAACATAGAACCAGAGAAGATGGACTGAAGCTCGGTCTGAATGGAGGATGATTGAATACACAGAGGAAGGGATAAGATAAAAATAATAATAATACTAAAGTAAATAAGCCTGAGAGAACCTGAAGAGAGGAGCCGCACAAACTTCCTGCCCTCCTCTTCTCACACCTTTCAGTCGGTGAAGCGGCAGCAGGGTGTTTCACACTAAAGCAGTTTACAGCATTTTGATTAGTAGTTTAAAGTTGTGTGTGTGTGTGTGTGTGTGTGTGTGTGTGTGTGTGTGTGTGTGTGTGTGTGTGTGTGTGTGTGTGTGTGTGTGTGTGTGTGTGTGTGTGTGTGTGTGTGTGTGAGAGAGGTAGTGGCAGTAGCAGGGTGAGAGAGGAAACTCACCGGCACTCCTCAGAGATCACAAAAACAGTTTTGCACATATTCTACTGACTGTTCTGTGGATTACAAATAGTTTTGTTACAAGTTGCTGAACCGAAGGACCAACTGCTGATTATCTTACTGTTTTTTTGTTTTGTTTTTTTTTTTTCCCAAGAGTTGACAGGTCAAGATGTCCGGCTGTTTTTCACTCATTTGACATTTCGTCTTTATTTAGAAAACTTTCTGCTCCGGGTTGTGGGTGACGTTAACGTCCATCAGCAAAAATTTATTTGCCAAATTTTTGTTGAAGTTGTGCCTTATTTTCATCCCTCTCTTGCCTTTTTCCACACATGTGCAAACAGCTGAGGATGGAAACCTTATGCTTATTTACTGTGATTGTTGCAGGATTAAATGCCCCGCATAATGTTAAGAGGCAAACCTCACGATCAGGCACGCTGTTGCTACTGATCCCTGCCAGTCTCAAAGGATTGTGAAACATGTAGGACATTTAATGTTGCAGTGTGTCGTCATAGAGCTAATAACATTCAGACTCTTGTGTTATTCAGCTGTGTGGAGTTTGAGCTGCATGTAGAAATGTGGCCCTTCTGAACTTTATGTGCGCTCCAAGTGTGGTGAACTTTTCCTGCCTGTTGTAACGTCTTGAGCACAATTGTTGAAACTTTACTGTAACATAGCCAGATATTTTTGTCGTCTAAAGCAATTCCTGCACCAAGCAGTCTTTGGCTTGATGGGTCGTATTTACAACACAAGTTGAAAACCAAGACCAATGCCGTTCATGTGCCCGTTTGTTTTCTCTGGGATTCTAGTAAATGTTGAGACCAAACTATAGTGAGCTGTTTGTTTTAAAGAGAATATTGACTACAACATTTAGTCCATTTCCAGCAGGTATGAGCTTATATTTAACTACATGCAGTGAATGTCGCAATATAAATGGTGTGTTTGCTGTTTCAATGGATACCAAATGTTTTAAAATTTGTTGAGAAACGGAAGAAAGAGTCTTTTTTTTTTACCTTTCTATGGTAAAAGATATGGACGTAGACCAACCAAATGCTGAAAACCGTTTCATTCTTATTATTTCAACTGTAGAATGTATGTGCTGTGTGTTTCATCCAAATAAAGTTGAGACGATGTACGTTTTTTCCCCCCGGACATTATACTTTTTGCCACTAGAGGTCACTGTTTCTTAATCTGAGGCATGCATTTTTTTTTTGTTTAACTCTATTTTGTTTTCAAAAAGCTTATTGTTTCAAAACAATATGTGTGACTATTCAATATTTTAGGCAATGCCTAAATCAGTTTTTTATAATTTGCACTTATTATGAAATGTCTTCTGAGAAAAGTATGGAGTTTTGGGAGCACAGCTACCTAAATAGCTAAAATCCACAAATAGTTGAGAACCACTCTAAATAAACATATTCTGCCTATTTCAATAGTTCTAACTCCAAGCATACCTTAACATGCAGTGGAAACCATCTTAGCACTACGCAAAAGCCAAAATGTAGTCCTCCATTTCTCTCCTGGGGTTAAAACCAGGAACAACAAAAATAAATCGCGCTTCTAGATTGGCTGCTTTGCAAACGGCAGCAAATGGGGTGACCTTTGGCTTCATGTCTAGTGATTTAGCTTCCGAAATGTTCAAATATTTTAAATACGCCCTTTGAGAAATTTTTAGGTGGTCCATTGTATGAGCAATCCTGTTGGTGGGCAACTCAACTTAATTATCTCATGTTCTAAATGAGATCATTTAAATTTGGCCCACATGCCTATTGTTATAAAAAATGTTTTATCAAATATGATTTAAAGAAATTTTTACCTCCTGATTTAATGCCTTGAAATTTGACCTCTGTCTCTTTAAAAACTCCCGCTCTTTCTGATAGCGCCGCCTTCAGGAAGTCGTCACAACATGTCTCCTCTATTAAAGGATTTCTCAAATGTATAAAAAATAATCAAGGCAACATTTCGGGTATGTTTTTGAAGAGGGAATAATATAATAATGTATAGCTCATAATAAGTGACATGGTTCAAAACTAAAGTATGGGCAACTTTATTTTCTTGAGTTTTTATCTCCTATATTTCTTATGACAGGTTAGTGGTTAATTATTTGGCAAAAAAAAGATGTGTAGAAATTTGATGTAGGCTAACTTTAAACCAATGTGTGGGAGATGGTCTGATAATACAGCAACCCATCTAAAGGCCACAGTTTAGTGTGGATTTATTGAGTTTATATCTATGTACACAATTATTGGGCAATGGTAGTTCAATAAAACATTCTCAAATAAAAAATTCTAAAAAATTGGTAACCCTTGCAGCCACGCTTCCTTTCAATGAACAGGTCAGGTGAGGAAGGGAGTCGTCTCTAATAATTTCATGCTGCAGGTCTGCTCGTACTTTGATGCATGCTGACGTCTTGCATGATGTTTGCTGCAGACTTTTGACTGAAAAGATCAGCCTTTACCTTACTGCCGTCTCAGTCGAAGTGAAGCTCTGTGTTACTGATCCAGCTAAAGGTCCGTAGCCGGTCTGAAAACATCAGAACATAAAAACCTTGGGAAAACCTGTCCTCAGATGTTTCTTGGCTCAGTCTTGATGTTTTACTCATCTTGTTCAGGGGGTTGTCAAGTGTCATCCTTTCATATCTGGTCTCTGAACACCTGAGGAAACAGATGTTTGGTGCAGTTCTGAAATGTGGCAGCACTGGAGGAGATTGGGTCTCTGGTGGCTTTGACAGTTTTGTGTTCACATCCCGAAATCTTAGCAAATTCAAGAATGCAACATTTTTTTGAAAGACTTTTTACAATTCTTTATCTTTCAGGGTTAAATCTAGATTTTTTTTCCCTTTATTACCCAAATACATTCATCAACTCAGTCTCCACATTTTCCACTTTCTGTTCACCTTTGTCCCTAGTGGTGTTGGGAGCTGCTGGTGCCTCTCTCCAGCGAATGTTTCGGGAAACATGTCTTGCCCTGTGTCAGTCTTGCCCTGACTGACGCAGGGCAAGACTGACACAGACAGTACAAAAAACAACCATGCACACACACAAACCTAAGGATAATTTAGAGAAACCAATTAGCCTGACAGCCATGTTTTGGACTGTAGGAGGAAGCTGGAGTACCCGGAGAGAATCCACCATGCAAACTCCATGCAGGAAGACTCCGGGCCGGGAATCAAACCCAGTACGATTACGTTCAAGTAATCGTACACAGTGTGTATTACGAGCTATTCATACTGATTCATTACAACATTTACAAATTGATGATAGGTCATTGTTAAACTGAATTTAAAGGGACGTCTACTTTAGAAAGGAACAGTAAAGGTTTGACCCGTAAAGGGTGTCTCTGTCCACCTGTCTACCTTCCAGCCTCCTCAGGTAACCGGCTCAGCCTCGCCGTTCAACCGGCTCCCCTCCTGGGAGGCTCAGCTCGGAGGCATCACGTTTCTCCTAGCTGTACACTCTGCACTTCAGATGCTGCCTGCGGATAGGAGCTGTGTTCCTCCCCAGAACCGAGGGAGTTGGGTTCCACTGGCTCATGCATAAAAGATGGAGCAGTGGAAGCTGTAGCTGCTCCATCCCTTCAGAAAGGCTAGCAAACAGCAGCAGAAGAGGGGGGGGGGAAGCTGTTCTTAGCTGTGAAAATCCAGGCTGATGAGGTGGTGCCTGGCACTGCAGCATCTTTGGAGGAAATATCTGTCCTGGGGATGGGAAGAAGGAAAGGCGTGCTGTTTTTTAATGGGGTGAATAGATATTCCACACTGACACCTGCTCGTCAAGATGGAGCTGTCGCGGCGTCTGCACTGGATACGAAGGCGACCCTGGAGGCCTCATGTGTGCCGCAGGAAGTTCAACCGTAAGCAGACTGACTGAAAGAGCCAAGCTTAACTTTTTCACTTTAATACAGGACAACTATTCATTGTGTTATTGGCTTCTTTGTTGTGTTTTTGTGCTCTTCTGGTTTTCTTTCCTGGTCTTTGTTTGCTGTGACCCAGAGAAACTTCTGGTGAAATTTTCATTCTCATGTGTGAATTCTGCAGGACGAATAAAACCCCAATTCAGACTTGTAGAAAGGGTAAAATAATGCTCTGGTGGCACGAATGCTAAGATTAGCAGAAAATCAATCAAAACATTGTGATTCTGATAAATATCCCAAATGAAGAATCAGAAGAATAATCTATACTTCTGATCGATTGTGGTGTTTTTCACCCATTCCTTTAAAAACAGTACAAGCTCATTCAGATTAGATCTCTGAACATCAACTTTAAAATTTTCCTGCCACAACTTCTAATTGGATTTATGTCCGGACTTTAACTGGGCTTTTTTTTTTTAACACACGGCTATCCTTAAAATCCAAACCACTCCATCGTAGCTCTGGCTGCGTGTTTAGGATCGTTATCCTGAAGGTGAACCTCTGCTACAGTCTCAAATCTTTAATGGCCGCAATGCTTCCACAATTGTCTTGTATTTGCCGCCCCCACCATGTTCCACTATGACTGCTTCTCTGAATAATGGCCTTTTTATTGCTGGTTTATATGGATGAAGATATATTTATTCATTTTCAGATGATGTATTGAATGATACTCTACGATCTGTTCAAAGCTTGTTGTTTCACAGCGTTATTGCTTCGAAGTTCTTCAGAGCTTTCTTCCTCTGCTGTCTGTTGGGTTTCATGAATTCAGACTGTTAAAAGCTTGACATTGACATATATTGAAGGGGAAATACTTTGAGGGATACAGAAAAACTTTAAATGACAACATGGCGAACAGTTCAGTGTTCTTCCATAAGCCTCAAGGAAGTGTCTAATGAAATGTGTTCTCATTTCCTTCCATCCGTCTTTCTGTGAACAGGCTTGGTTAAAGAGACCTCAGACAAGCTTTGAATGTTTGTTCAGACCAATAAGCAAACGTTTGAGAGTTTTTTTTGGGGGGGTCAAATTGTGAGGAGAAGATAGATGCCGGGTGTTTGTTTGTTCAGCATGTGAGCAACAATGTAGATCAGAGATTTGCAGTGTTTCCTGACTGAAAACAAAACACACATTGAGTTTTCCATGAAATAAAATGCTTATTTTAGATGGAAATACTTGATGTGTGCTAATTTGAATGTCAGGAAATTAAAAAAATAGCCACACTCCTGAACCTGTTCATAGCTGGTCAGAGAAAAAAAAAACACTGGATGAGGATCCATTTATCTGTTCGTCACGTTAAGCAGAAGACAAATCTCTGTGACAACCATTCAGTTCCAGTCTGAATCTCAGAAAAGTGTTTTTTTGTCCAACCGTCCTTAGCTTATAAATGTGGAGGTTTCTAAAGCCTGCTGGGACTTTGATTAAGTCTCTGTGCTTTGACTAGGTGAGATTAAAATGAAACTTTCGGAAAATGAAAGTCGGCATCGCAGACCAGAAATGGGATGTTTTTCTGGGTGATGCATTATTTACGGCGTTCCCAAAATAAGCTCTGACTCTTTCCTCTGGTCTCACTACAAGCACCATGCATCAAGATATGCTTTGACAAATCTTTTCCTTGGATTAGCAGAGGCCTTACACTCAAGATGCATCATGCTTTTAAATGCTGTTTGTGAAAAGAAGATAAACTAATCCAGTCAGTCCATTTAAACTCCACAGTTCTTTCAGTATTTTTAGGCACCATATTAGAGCCTCTTTAATCTGGCCGCTGTCAGCAGAGCGGATGAAAACTCTCAGGTTATTGATTACTTCCTTGTAGGGATCCTTTGATCAACTTAGTACTGCTGATTAGTTCAGCGTTCGTACATAAGTTCTTTGCCACAGGACTGTTATCACTGTGGAGATTGGAAATTTGTTGTATAACTTTATGTTGAATAATATGCCATCAAATGGTATTGTGCAATAGTTTTAGATCTCCCCATATGTCACAAGTAATTTCACATAAACTAAGATTAATGAAGCTTTCAAAAGTTTGGAGAAGGCCAGATGATGTCATGACTTTGCAAGCTTCCGATTGGTTTGTTGCAGCATTTGGCATGAAAAGAGGCACAACTCAAATGAATGTATTTTTTGTTTTTTGTATTTTTTGTTTTATATATATATATAATATATATATATATATATATATATATAATATATATATATATATATATAATATATATATATATATATATTATA